CCGGACCCGAAACGTTAACTCTGTTTTCTCTTTCACAGATGCTGCCAGACCTGCTGAGCTTTTCTACAAGTGAAGTCAATGGCTCCATGCAGAACAAGCACCCTTCATTATGTCATATGTGACTTCTGCAATCAGATCTCTGGATGTGCCAGCTATTCTGAAAGCACAGCGCATAGCCACCAGGAGATATTAAATTGCTAAAGATTCAAGGAGTATCATTGTTGTGGCAACCATTGTAATCTAACCCTGTGCATTTATCTGCAACAATACAAAGTTGGACAATAAATGTTGTCACATTTTTTTCGGTCTTTGGGTTGCTGTACAACTAAAATATCTCCATCGATATTACTGACACCGTAAAGTCGCCAAACCAGGCCATTCTCCTCATTGGCTGTGGGATCTCGCTGTGCGCATGTTCGATGCTGTGTTTGGCTAAATGAAGTGCTTTGGGATTCAGAGAACAGGGTGAGGGCACCCTAAAATACCAAGTTTCTTCTTTCACTTTTTGCCAAAAGCGAGGTGTATATGAACTTTATTAACGTTGGAATTACCCGTGTGGTAAGTTCGCTGCATCTCCAGCTTCCTCAGCCTGATATCTCCGAACCCCTCTTTCTCCTGGCTCAAGCCCTCCTCACTCTGTACCTTCTCTCCTCAATCAGGGCATTTGTTACAGCCGTGTGACTTCTAACCCATCCTTCCAATCATGCCTGGATACAAAGTGCCATAAGCAAACTCAAAAAGTTCTCCATCCGCACACCCACAAGGGCGGTAAATATCTGGACCATATTGTGAAATGTGCAAATGCTTCATTTTTTTTGGTGTTTTTTTAAAATCGTAGAATCCCTACAGCATAGATTTGGCCCGACCCCCTGAAGAGCATCCCACCCAGGCCCATCCCCCTACCCTATCCCTGTAACCTTGCATTTTCCATGGCTAATTCACCTAACTTGTACATCCCTGGACACTACAGGCAATTGAGCATGGCCAATCCACTTAACTTGCACATCTTCAGGGAGGAAACCCACACAGACACAGGGAGAATGTGCAAACTGCACACAGACAGTCACCCGAGGGTGGAATCAAACCTACATCCCTGGCGCTCTGAGGCGGCAGTGCTAACCACTGAGCCACTGTACAACTCCATGTTATGATCACCAGGCTGGAGCCAAGAGATGAGTGAGCACTGGGGGTGGCAAGTGTAGGGACTGTCCCAGATTTCACTGGGAGCAAGCTCCCCAGTAATTCTAAAGTTCTGAAGAAGGGAAACTAGACTCGAAATTGTCAAATCTGCTTTCTCTCTCGGCAGATGCTGCCGCACCTGCTGAGTTTCTCCAGCATGTTCTGTTTTTGCTCCCCAGTAATCTGTTTGCATTTGGCCATGCGCAGGGCACCCACACAGTGACTGCCACCTCTTGCCCAGTGGGCTAAGACTCAACTACTCCTGACCAGTTAACTCCGCGGCTGTTACTGAGGAATGTCCGTGTTAGGGGAGGGCAGCTACAGACTCCAGTGGGTGTCATTGGCTGTGCTCACCCTTAAACGGGTGCCTCTTGGATGCAGTTCCTGTTCAACTTCCTTTGAACTCAATATCTTTGAGGTAGGCCAAGCTGGGAGGAGGGATTCCTAACTGACACTGTAACGGCCCCCCTCACCACACACCTCACCTCCCCTCCATAAGATGAGGCGCCATTGACAATCCTAGATCTGATCTTGTGTGATCTTTTACAGCCACCCAAGATGCCAACCAAGATGCCTTGGTCTAACGTCATACCTGAAGGCTGGTGCACCCCCACCCACCCCACCCATCAGTATGTACTGCGCACGTGCCAATCTGGAGTTCATCTCCAACTTAGGGCAAAACGTAGTGATTAACTAACTCAAGAACATGACCAAGCACCAAGACACCGAGTGTGAGCTTCAACTCCATTCCTGTGGGATTGCTGGCCTATGAGGACCTCGGAGTTGGCTATTTTCGGGTTTTTAGGAAGCAGGATGGCGCACTGATGCTCTGCAGGCCAATTCCTGTTGCCAGGTTTTCAGTAACAATCCCACCTGGCTTCCAGTCACCTCCCACAAGAAACCTGTACCATCTCAATACAGATGTTTTTCCATTCTGCCTTCCAGTGATCGGGGTCTTGTCCTGGGAATTTACATGATATTGGTTGGGCTCTACATACCGCTATGGATAACCCGGTGGGTATTTCCCCGTTCGTCATTGCTCCTCTGTGATGTTTGTAATCAGCCATGGCGGGGCAGGCCCGATGGGCCAAAAGGCCTAACTTTGTTCCTGTATCTTCTGGTCTCACGGTAATTAAAAGACTTTTGGTGAAGCCAAGAGCTAGTTTTCCATCTCCTACTCTCTTTAGATTCCAGAGGCAATTGTTCTCATGCCTTCACTAGTGCCTGTCCCCATCGCCTTGAATTGCCACAGCCCAAGTGGTGTCAGGCCTAGCCATTGGGCCCCATATCCTGGCAGGTGAATTCCTGTGTGTCATGTTTCCAGCTCATTGTCATCCAGTCCTAACATTATCCGCCTTAATTTAACTCAATCCTGGGTCATGGGTGTCATTGTCAATTGCTCGGTTTAGGTTCAGCCCAGTTTGTAAACATCACTGCCTTTCATCTTGTGAAAAAGACTGCGCTGATGGCACGTCAGGAACAGATGTATCAAACCAAGCAACTCACATGCCCTCTGGACTGTGCACTGGTGAGAACACATTTTGCTCGGATTTAGTCAGCGTTATCTGAGCGGCCTGTTATGACGGCTGTTTTGGCTCTCTCCTGCTTTCGGGCTTTGCCCCGCTGATGAGGTTCTGTGGTCTCTCGCCGTGGGGCAACAGCAGCCCAGGGTGGTGAGAACAGGCAGGCTCCTGAGGGTGAGCATTAGCACGACATCCTCTCTCACATTCAGTGACAATCGCTGAACTCGATCCACAAACAACCAGAAAGCCCGAAGTGTTTTTCGAATGCCATACCAAATGTAATTACCAATATGCCTGGTTGTGCTGTTGAAAATTAGTGGCCAATTTAACGATGGCATTCCTTTATTTAAGGAACACTTTTCCAATTTAGGATGGGAACGTGTCAGGGAATCTGTCCAACGCCAGTGCACACAATAGGGCTGTTTGTATCAGTATCACATCACGTGTTTCTGAATAAATAACTTGACAATTCAAATAAATGCCGGCCTAACTCAGCAGGTCAGGCAACAGCTGTGGAGACAGAAGTAAAGTTAACGTTGCGGCTCCAGTATGATTCTACTCCAGAAGGCTCTTCCATTCTGAGGGAGGGTCACTGGACTTGAAACGTCAGCTCTGCCTTCTCTCTCTCCACAGATGCTGCGGAGCTTTTCACGCACCCTCCGTTTTCTGATCCGTGGCTCTTTGCTTTTGAGTCGAGCCACCCCTGCGTCAAACGTCATGCGGGGGGGACTGGTGACAGCGTTTCCCATGGTGGTGTCGAGGTCCTCGCTGTGGTCAGGTTGAAGGAACCGTCAACAGGACTACCATCTTGGTAGCGCCCATTTGGTAACATCCACAGCACACCCTAGTGGGGCAAACTGCGTCAGACTCGAAATTGGTAAGGTTGGTACACTAGGGTGAACAGCCCCTAATATGGTGTGAACAGGTAGATCATGAAGTCAGTGTTTGAAACTAATTTGGTACCAGTAGTAGCAGCTTGAAGCTAATGCCCTCTCTTAACCTCCTATAGGTGAACACCTTTAACAAAAAGAAGGACTCCTCTTAGAGCTGTCTAAAGGGATCACCAAATACTTTCAGGTTAGTTACTAATGGATTTCTTCTGCCTATTGCCTTGATTCTCCAGTGTTAGCTGCTTTATTTAAGTGCTTAAGGTTGGGAAAGCCTACCAGGGGTTGTACTGAATGAGTTTGGCTGAATTCAAGGCCTTTTGCACAAACGTATGACGGCAAAATTGTGCAGACGCTGGAAATCTGAAATTAAAAACAGAAAGTGCTGGAGAAACTCAGCAGGTCTGGCAGCATTTGCGGAGAGAGAGAAACAGAGTTAGCGTTTCGAGTCTGGTATGACTCTTCTTTAGAACTAAAATGGTGCTTTATTTATGCTGTAGACAGAGGGGGAAGGAGGAAGTGGAACAGCTAGTCAGAGTTCCTCATTCGCCGATGGAGCCACTTTGCCGATGTTACTATCGCAACATATAAAATGTAAGCCTTCGCAAAATATACATTTCCGTAATGAACCAATGATCCATGTTGCCACCCTATTCCTCTTGTGCATTCCCTTAGCGCCTGCCTCCCAGCACTTTCGCCTGCACTAGTACTGCTATGTCTCAATCAGTTAGTTCATTTGGGTGGTTTGTGGTGCAGAGTGAGGCTAACAGTATGGGTTCAATTCCCGTGCCAACTGAGGTCACCATGAAGGTCCCACCTCTCCCCTTGCCCGAGGCCTGTGGTGGCTCTTAGGTTATCAGTCGTCTGTCTGAGCAGCCCTATGCTCCTTTGGGTCTACGGCAACTTTACCTTTACACAGAGTCACTGTACCTTGGCTGGTGGAGGTCTGCAGCGAGGGAGATCCCAGACATCCTTATAGGATGACCACGTCCATCTCTGAGCCTTGAGGACGCTGTTGTGGACTGCACCATCTTGCCACGTGTGCCAGCAATCTGTAGTCAATAGCAACAGCATTTGGCTGGGGTGTTAGTTCATTACATTTCGAGCATTAACAGATAACTCCCTAAAAGTCCTTTATAATGGAGTTGACAGAAACAGTGGTGGTGGAGATTTTTGGTGGTCGATGTTTAGAGAGTGCACCTCTGTAAATACAGGCTTATACAGGTAAGTATTGGAGGCTTGTTCTTTCCTTCAATTGGACTGGAGGCCTGTGACCAGCGGTGTTCCACAGGGATAGGTCCTGTTTTGTTTGTCATTTACATAAATGATTTGGATGAGAATGTAGAAGGCGTGGTTAGTAAGTTTGTGGATGACACCAAAATTAGACAGTAGACAGTGAAGAAGGTTTTCTGCGAATACAAGGGGATCTTGATCAAATGGGTCAAGGGGCTGAAAAATGGTAGCTGGAGTTCAATCTGGATAACTGTGAGGTATTGCAATTTGGTACAACAAACATGGGTAGGGCTTATACAATTAATAATAGGGTCCTGGATAGTGTTGTAGAGCAGAGGGACCTCGGGGTTCAGGTACATAATTCTTTGAAGTTTGTGTCACACGTAGACAGGGTGGTTAAAAAGGCGTTTAGCACGTTTGCCTTCATTGCTCAAACTTTAAGCATAGAAGTTGGGACATCATGCTGAGGTTGTACAGGACGTTGGTGAGGCCTCTTCTGGAATACTGTGTCCAGTTCTGATTGCCCAGTTATAGGAAGGATATTATTAAGCTGGAGAGGGCTTGGAATAGATTTACCAGGATGTTGCCGAGTATGGAAAGTTTGGGTTACAAAGAAAGGCTGGATAGGCTGAGACTTTTTTCACTGGAGCGTAGGAGGGTGAGAGTTGATCTTACGGAGGTTGAGAAAATCGTGAGGGGTACAGATAAGGCAAATGATTGGTGTCTTTTCCCTAGGGTGAGGGATTTCAAGACTAGGGGGCATATTTTTCAGGTAGGAGGACAGAGATTTAAAAAAGACATGAAGGGCAAATCTTTTACATGGAGGGTGGTTCGCGTATGGAATGAGCCTCCTGAGGAAGTGGTACATGTAGGCACCAATTACAACATTTAAAAGACATTTGGATAAGTACATAACGGGAAAGGTTTGCAGGAATATGGGCCAGGAGCAAGCAGGTGGGACTGGTTTAGTTTGGTATCATGTTCAGCATGGACTGGTTGGACTGAAGGGACTGTTTCCATGCTGTGTGACTCTATAATACTTGGATATTTGGGATGTGAGGGTGATTACTCTCCACTTGTGGTTTAAGTCACTGTCAGTCTCCTCAGCAATCACAGTAACATGTGAGAGGGAAGATTACTGCACTGCTGGGAAACCCAGTGAGCCCATTTTCACACTAGGATTCACAGCTATGAGGACAACAGTCTGGACTTGCTTGATCGCAAAGTGCGCTTGGTTCTATTCGTAAATCAAGGAGACAGGGAACGTGTCTGTGAGCAGTAACCCTGAGCAAACCTTCAGACTGGTGTTATTCCAAAGACATGCATTTACGTAGCGCCTTTCACAGCCACAGCACAGCTCAAACTGTTCTATGGCCGCTCAAGTATTTTTGAAGTATAGTCCCTGTTGTAGTCAGAATATGATAAGGGCTTGTTTCTGCGATGTCGATAGAGAGATAACTACTGGCCAGGGCAGGCAGGAAACTGTCTTGCCCTTCTTCAAAAAAAAAATGGCGCCATGTGATGGTTTACACGTACCTGAGGGCAGATGGGGCTTCGGCTTAAACTTAGCCAAAAAGGACAGGACTGGAAGGCTTGAGATATGAGGAGAGGTTGGATAGACTGGGACTATTCTCCCCCACAGCGTAGGAGACCTTATAGAGGTATATAAAATCATGAGAGGCAGAGATAAGGTCGAAAGCGGACATCTTTTCCCCATGATAGTGGAGTCTAAAGCTAGAGGGCATAGGTTTAAGGACAGAGGGGAGAGACACAAAAGGGTCCAGGGGGCAGTTTTTAACCACACAGAAATTGGTGAGTGTCTGGAACAGGCTGCCAGAGGTAGCGGTGGAAGTGAGTACAATTTCATCATTTAAGAAACGTTTAGACAGGGAGATGGATGGAATAGGTTTGGAGAGAAATGGACCAAACGCAGGCACATGGGACTAGTTTAATTGTGTAAACTGGACAGCATGGGCAATTTGGGCCAAAGGGCCTGTTTCCATGCTGCAGACTTCTTTGACTCTATGACAGTACTACAGTCCTTCATCACTGCAGTGGTATCACAACTTTGGTTATATTCTTGATCTTTGGAGTGAGGTTTGAAATTCTGTGACTCACAAGAAAAGTGTTATCACTGAGCCATGGCTTCCAATAAAGGAGTCCTAATTGTTTCTTTTTTTCCATCAAGCCTCATCAGCAAGCATGGTGCATCACAAATTTTAACCCATTCGAGAGGAACTGAGGATTTTGTTTCTATTCTATACTGAATAAAAAATAAAGGCATGTAGTTGAGATTTTTCAATCTGCACTCAACTACCAGAATGCCACATTTCAAGGAGAGAAACAACTTATATTACATGAGAAAAGGCTGTTAATTGTTTGACGAGTTAAGTTTGTTTGATCAGAACTTTATGAGGCGAATGTACTATAAAATTTCCTAAACAACATATCTCGCAGACAACAGGTCCTTGCATATGAATATAATGTAGATTCTAGCAAGCATGAGTGAGACAATTTGCAATTGGAATTGATAATCTTCAATTGGTTATCAATGTAATTATTAGCACACTTGGGATTGTTCAGAAAGTGCCATCCAACCACAGAATCTAACATTAGACATTATGGCCCAAATCTTGGGTCAGAATCCTTATCCCTGACATGGATCAGACTAACAATTGCTTTTGGTTCGGTTTCTCAGGTGAATGCATGGACCAGAAGCTTTCCCGGTTGGAATAGCTCAGCTGAGTGCAGAAATCCTCACACCCAAATCTGCACTGAAATCACACCCCCTTCTTCAGCCTGAAATGGTGTATCCTGCCATTTAACCTATCCTTAATCCACCCTGGCAGTTACTGAGAGAAGGTAAAAGTGTACAAAAACACTCCAGTTTCATGTAAATCTCAACAGTTGTCCCATCCCAGTGCTGTGTGAATGTTTGTTTAGGAGGCCTATGTTAAGAAAATTACATCTTGCTGCTTCTAATTGTCCTGGTTAATGGTGACAACATGACTTTGATACATATTTAGGACCATTTTAACTTCTTCAATCACTTATGGAACAACCAAATATCTGAAGGTGGATTGTTCATATTTCAACAGGACATGGGCATGAAGACGAGGAGACATCCTGAGTACTAATGAAGGTAATAATTTAAAACCACCACTATATTACAGACAACGATGTTTAAAATAAATACAGATGAAGAAGGAACAAGAGTAGAGTTACAGAATCCCGGAGTCATACAGCATGGAAACAGACCCTTCGGTCCAACTCGTTCATTCCTACAATAATGCCAATCTGACCTAGTCCCATTTGCCAGCATTTGACCCATATCCTTCTAAATCCTTCCTATTCATGTAACCAGCAGAAGCCTTTTAAATGTTGTAATTGTACCAGCCTCTACCACATCCTCTGGCAGTCCATTCAGTCCCTTAAACCTGCTCTGTCATTAAATAAGATCATGGCCAATCTGATTTTAACCTCAACTCTATGTTCCTGCATGCCACCGAATAATCTTTCATTGGTAATCAAGAATCCATCTACCTCAGCATTAAAGATATTTCAAGATTAACATTCACTGCTTTATTTAAGAAGGGAATTCCAAAGATTCACAACCCTCTGTGAGAAAATAATATTTCCTCATCTCTGCCCTAAATGGACGCCCCCTTATTTTTAAACTATGACCCCTAGTTCTAGATTTCCCTCAAGAGGAAACATCCTTTCAACATCCACCCAGTCAAATCCCCTCAGGATCAAGGGTCTAGGCCCGAAACGTCAGCCTTTCTGCTCCTATGATGCTGCTTGGCCTGCTGTGTTCATCCAGCTCTACACCTTGTTGTCCAGGATCTTATATGTTTCTTTTGAGTCACCTCTGATCCTCGAAACTCCAGAGGATGCAGGCCCATTCTGTCTAATCTTTCCTCATAAGATAATCCAATTATTCCAGGTATCAGTCCAGGAAACCTTCTCTGAACTACTTCCAAATCATTAACATCCTTCCGTAAGTCCGGTGATCAGTACAGAATATTCCAGATGCATCTTACTGATGCCTTGTATAACTGAAGTATAACGTTCCTACTCCTGCACAGAAGATGCTGAACGTCTCAAAATGCATAAAGGTAATAAAACCCTAGAACTCTGTGGGAAGCTAGGGAAGCTGTGGGATTGCTGGGCCCCTTGCTGAGATATTAGTATCATCGATAGCCACAGGTGAGGTGCTGGAGGGCTGGTTGGTGGCTAATGTAGTGCCACTATTTAAGAAAAGTGGTAAGGAAAAGCCAAGGAACCAGTGAGCCTGACATTGGTGACGGATAAATTGTTGGCAGAGATTCTGAGGTACAAGATTTACATGTATTTGGAAAGACAGGGACTGATTAGGGATAGTCAACATGGCCTTGTGCGTGGGAAATCATGTCTCACTAACTAGGTCGGGTTTTTTGAAGAAGTGACAAAGAAGGGATATGGACCAAGTGCTGGAAAATGGTTAGCATGAACGAGTTGGACCGAAGGATCTGTTTCCGTGCTGTACAACTCTATGACTCATTCGATGTCCCTTGTGAGAAAACAGAATATTCTGTTAGCTTTCCTGATTACTTATTGTATCTGCATACTGCATCATAACCATACCCTCAATCCCTTCGTCCAAATCATTTGTAAAAATTGGACAGAGTTAAGGCCCCAGCACTTGTAACATCTTATCAACCTGAAAATTGTGATCCCTACTCTCTGCTTCTTGTTAAATTTGTTGTCAGTGTTTTAAAGGGAAAAGTTCATTAGCTTTTAGAACAGCGCAATAATGAGATGGCTGAAAGTGATCCCATTTCAATCAACTTGGTTTGTTCTATAATATGGAGTTTAGTCAAGTGTGAATCACACGCTGTGAAAACAAAACCAATTGACATGCTTCTAAAAAATTAATCTGGGTAACAGAAACTACTGTTCCATGGTATTGAGCCTTGCCAGACAGATCAGAGCCCACAGTAGTACCAAAAACAATCAGCTTTTCTATGACAATTCCCCAACCTTTACATTAACAGAGAGGCCACTCTGGTCATCTCCTGGGCTCCTCAAAGCTGCCTAATCTCCAGCTTTGGTTTGCCAAGTCTTCAGTTTGTCCGGTTAGATAATGTACCATTCCAGGATTTTGGAGGGAATGGATGGAAATGAAAACAGAAAGGACAATCCGTCTACATACCAGTTCCATATCCCAAAAATGATGTTGGATGGGGATTGTTATGGCTGTATTGGAGCCCACAGTATTTTCCTGGCTGATCTAGTTCAGTTTCTGATCTACAGTAATCCCTAGGATGGTGATAGTGGGGAATTGACCAAAGAAATGCCATTGAAGGTAAAGGGGTAATCATTAGACACTCTCTTGTTGGAGTTGGCCATTGCCCCGCGCTTAGGTGGCACAAATATTACTAGCCACTTATTAGCCCAAGCCTGAATGTTTTCCAGGTCTTGCTATAGTCAGACACAGACAATATTCATATTTGGTATCAAGGGTAGCAAACTCAATTGAACACCGTGCAATCATTTGTGAATTGTTTGTCTCCATTATAAGCTCAGAGATGAATGTCATTCTTGAAGGAGCTGAAAATGGTTGGACCTGAGGAAATTCCGTATTGTATCCTGAATGTGAGAAGGTCGATTTACAACAACCATGACCTTTGTACTGGGTACATCTCTGCCAGGGAAGAACTTTACCTGGTTTCCCACTCACCTCCTTGATACCACTTCAGTCAAATGCTACCTTGATTCAAATGCAGTCACTCTTACCTTACCTCTGAATTCTATTGTCCGTATTCAGATCAAGGCTTTAATGAGGTTTGGAGTAAAGTAGTGCTGGCAAAATCCAAACCTGAATGTTGGTGAGCAAGTTATGATAATGGATAACATAATCGATATAATAAACCTAGGTTTTCAGAAGGTCTTTGATCTGATAACACAATAATAGATTCACGACTAAGCTCTGAGCTTATGGAGTTAAGGGACATGTAGCAGGTGAACTTCTAGTCAGCCACAAAACAATGAGGGTTAGTAAAATAAATAAAAATGGGAAATGTCAGAAATATGTAGCAGGTCGGGCAGCAACCATGGAGGGAAAAACAGAGTTAGTACTTCAGTTTAATAACTTTGATCTAACAGAGTTAAAGGTGTTTACTCAGACTGATAGAAGCTGAAAAGTGGTGGTCCACAAGATTTAGAACAGAAACTTACAGCTGTTCACCATTTAATTGAACGATTTGTACTCAAATATGGGAAGGACAATTTCAAACTCCAAGGTATCGGAGGTTATAAACGAAGATTGCAGCAAAATTGGAAGATTTTTTATTCACTTTTGGGATGTGGGCATCCCTGGCTGGGCTAGCATTTATTGCCCGTCCCTAGTTGCCCCTTGAGAAGGTGGTGATGAGCTGCCTTCTTGAACCGCTGCAGTCTGTGTGCTGTAGGTAGACCCATAATGCCCTTAGGGAGGGAATTCCAGGATTTTGACCCAGTAACAGTGGAGGAACGGCGATATATTTCCAAGTCAGGATGGTAAGTGACTTGGAGGGGAACTTGCAGGGGGTGGTGTTCCTGTAAATCTGCTGCCCTTGTTCTTCTAGATGGAAGTGGGATTTCGTCTCCAGAAGAACTGTGCAATAATCACTCTCACTGATACTGTCAAAGACAGATCCATCTGCAGCTGGCAGATTGGGAAGGATGAGGTTAATTATGTTTTTCCCTCTTGCTGATTCCCTCACCACCTGCCGCAGACCCAGTCTCGCAGCTATGTCCTTTAGGACCTGACCAACTCGATCAGTGGTACATCTGCTGAGTCACTGTTGGTGGTGGACATTGAAATCCCCCACCCAGAGTACATTTTGTACCCTTTCCACCCTCAAATCAACTTGTTGATTGAGTGTTCAACTGGCAAATTACTTTTTAATATAGATGAGAGTGAGTTGATTCAATTTGGTTAGTGGAATGATAGAACTGTATGAAAAGCAAGAGTCCAGATTGGGTAGAACCGCCAAGGGAGATAGGGATACACATTCACAAATCGTTAAAGGTAGCAACACAAGTTAGCAACCCATAAAAGTGGAAACAAAGCCCCAGGCTTACTTCTAGAGGAATAGAATGGAAAGTGGGGAATTTATGTGCAACTTGAAAAGTAACTTGGTTGGACCACATTTGGAGAACTGATCTGGTCTCAAAATACAAAGCATAGACTGAGAAATTGCAAACCAGGATGAAACCAGAATGGGGAAGGAATGCTGAGCAAGTTTGGGCATTTTCACTGGAGAAAAGAAGGCTGAGGGCAGACCTAATGAAGAGGTTTTGATAGGATAGAAAGACAAGGGCAGCAGACACATGGGAACACACCAAACCCTGCGAGTTCCCTTCCATGCCAATCACTATCCTGACTTGGAAGTATATCATTGTTCCTTCACTGTCGCTGGGTCAAAGTCCTGGAATTGTGGGTCTACTCACAGCACATGGGCTGCAGTGATTCAACAAGGTATAATGTAGAGGTGCTGGTGTTGGACTGTTTGGGGGGGAGGAAAGGGGGGTGGTGGTGTGGAGGGGGAGGGGCAACAAGGTCAGAAGTCACATGTCAGAAGTTATGGTCCAACAGGTCCAAGGTCTGAAGGAGCAGCGCTCCGAAAGCTTGTGATTTCACGGTCACTTCTGACCATGGTTCAAGAAGGCAGCTCACCACCACCTTCTGCAGTGCGATAAGCCTGGCTCAAATTAGTATATAAAATGTAGAGAGAATGTTTCCAATTGTGAGGAAAGGGAAAATTATACATCAAAAAAATGTAAGATTATCATTAAGAATCCAGCAAAACAGATCAATTAAAAGTTTCAAGATAAACTTCGTTGTCCATGAGGACAACACTCTACCACTCGGAGCATTTGAAGCAACTAATATTGATGGCTTTAAGGGGAAGCTGAACAATCACATGAGCTAAAAAGGAATATAAAGATTTTTTGACTGTGTGAGATACAGGAAGGTGGGACGAGACCCATATGGAGTATAATGACTGGCTCAGCCCAGTCAAACCTATTTCTGTCAAGCCTGTGTCATTCTGTTAAGTATGAGTAAGATAATCTTACTGCTACATGGTATAAAACTTGCTCCGAAAAGAGCCGCTGCTACCTTAAAAGAGATCCTCAGAAGAACTGGTGGAACTCAATATTTCAGGCAGCGTTCTCTGCCCATTGTCTGGAAGGAGCAGCGAGTCTCAGTGAAAGGGGTGGTACTGGAGAACGAGAATATGAGAATGTAGGAACAAGGGGCAGAAGGATGCCATTCAGCCAATGGAGAGTGCTCCGCCAATTAGATCATAGAAACATTGGAATAAGGAGTAGAGTAGGCCATTCAGCCCTTCAAAACCGCTCTGCTGTTCAGTTAGATAACAACTGCTCATCTACCATCCCCATAACATGGAATATTGTCCTTTATTGTTAGAGGGATGGAGTTTAAAAACATGGGAGGTTAAACTGGCCTTAGTACTAAAGGGCATACAGCCCAATCATCAGGAAATGCTCTGTCATCCAGGAAAGTCAATAGATAGTTGATTCTGCTTATACCATTTCTGTTTCCTGACCCCAACCATCCCCCACAAAAGACCAGAATAACGATGCTATGGATGTGTTTACATCCAATGCTAATCATGCACGTTCATCAATTGGTACATGAGACATTGTCAAAATAAAAGGGCCTTATTCCCAACAAAGACATTGCACTGGTGATGAAAGTTCACCCTGCCAGTCTGCTGACTGGTCTATAATTGGACTAAGTACACACACTAGGCTCTGAGATCATGACAAAATGGGGTTGAAATGATGCTTACTGATTATGTTTCAAGAGCCAGACTTCCTCTGTCTAGTGGGAAGAGCTGAGGGAGAAAAAAAAAATACATTTAAGGCTGAAATAGAGGAAGGGAAGAAAATTTTACTCGTGGCCTTGTTTTAAAAATAAATTTGCACAACCGTCAAAAAGTATGGATGAATTATAAAAGGTCTTGCTTTTTTGGGGCAGCTCAGAGTTTACTTTGTAACAACAAGATTTACAGCATGTAATCAAGCAATACAAATGTCATTTTAATCTGTCCTTTATTGCTGGTCTCAGTGTGATTGCATTATAGGAAATTTAACAACTGACAATTCCCTTTAGAAGTATTCACAATGAGTCTGAGAGTCTTCATTGCTTATGCCTTTTAAAAACAAATACACACTTTTCACCAACCTGATCAAACACATATCTAAAACAAAATAAAACTTGAAGTTAGACTATTTGGCCTAGGGGTAGGGACAATACACTTAAGCCACAAAATCCACTGGATCAAACCCTGTTACCCAACATATTGTTCAAATCCAGGGTCTTGCTACCTGAATTTACCAGGCATTTCTTCATAGTTTAAAAAGAACTTTACAGAAAATAAAATTATATTGGTTACATAATGATACAAAAGCCAATTTATGAAACAGAATGAAGTTAACACATTTTTTAATTTTCAGAGAACACAGCTACCCTGCTAGAATAATAAATTGGGGAGTAAGTGGAAATCTCATTTTCTTAATCCCACACTCTCTTAATGGCTCACTCTGTGCATTGAAAAGTTTTATTGCAGAAATAAGAATGAGAAGAACTGACAGATCACTAAAGATGTTGCACCCAAGTGATTGGAAGAAACATATTCACTTCTTGTGTGTTGGCAAACAAACAACGGATAATTAGCAAACACTTTTATTTTCGGATAGACAGCGTCTCTTTAAAAACCCCAAGCCTGTTTCTTTCAGGGCAATTAGTCAAGATCAGATGGTGGCTTAATGGCTGTTTCTACTTTGTTTTCCACCAATCATGCTGTTTTAATTCCACACAGCGAGTGTCTTCAACTCTGTTAAGCTGAAAATCTTTTTAACCCTAGTTTGTGCCTTGTTGTGCTGTTCTTCTGGTGCCTCTTCCTGTGATCCTGTTGTCAGTTTTAGCCTGTTTTTCTGCTTTGTTAACACAGCAGGCAAGGGAGAGCAATTTATCGCCTGTGTCCAAGGCAAAGACTGTGTCTGCTTCAGGATTCCACCTGAACACCTTGTGTTTGCCGCTTCAGTCACCGTTTACCTCAGTACAATCAGGTAACTTGGTTTTATTTTGTCTTCTGTTTGATTTGAGCTCTGAGGCAGTGTTAAGATGTAAAGCTTGAGTCGCATTCTATTCCCCCTCTCCAAATTTCAGTCAGGTTTGTGGTGTGATGCATTGTAGAATCTACATGTGTAAGGCTCAGGACTTTGTACACACATTACAACTCTCTTGTGGGAAGAAAGGGGCTCCTGAAAATTGGTGAATGGCTGTATTCCCATGGCAACACCCTGACCAATCAGCCCACCTGCCTAGTTTGAGAATTAAGATTGACAGTTACCTGCTCTCCATGGCAAATGATGGCTAAACCAATTAGAACACTCATCTCATTGCTGTTTTAATTGGGGAGCCCTCTGAGGGCCCTTGTGTGGTAGTCTCCCTACTCCTGGACAGGTGAGGCCTGGGATCAATTCCACCTGCTCTAGAGGTGTGTAATAACATCTGAACAGGTTGTTTAGAAAAGTAGGTGGACGAGAACACAAGTGCTTCTATTTGGGGCTATCATGGTACAGTGGAAGTGTTCCTACATCTGAGCTAAGGGTTCAAATCCCACCTGCTCCAGAGATGTGTGTTAACACGTTTTGAACAGGTTGATTAGATAATATCTACAAACTTGCTTCTTCCTTCATGGTCTTGAAGGCTTAAAAACTGAACTTTGATTCCTTCTTCCTTTACTTCTTGGAGTGTTTAATCTCCTTTCTACCATTTCTGTCGGATTATTTTTTTTGAAAAGCTGCCTTTATTTGGCAACACTTATTTGCCTCTGATTCAAAGACAGAAAGATAAAACCAAGGCAGCTCTTTCAGTCTGGGAGGTGGGATTTATTTTGTGGTTTGCTAGTTACTTAAATTGGGACTTGCTGTTTAATGGAAATGTATAAGTTTTCTTAAAAAAAGAACAGATTTCTTATGGTATGGTGTAGTTATCTCACCTCCAGACTAGAAGGCCTGGGGTTCAAATGCCACCTGACCAAGAAGTGTGTTGTAATATGTTTGGTTTAGATTTAGGCCAATTCCCAAAACCTATGGAAATAGGCTTTTTTTAAAAAAATCATTCACTGGATGAGGGCATTGCTGGCCAGGCCAGCATTTATTGCTCATCCCTTATTACCTGGAGGATAGTTTAAGAGTCAGCCATATTTCTGTGGGTCTGGAGTCACATGTAGGCCAGACCAGGCAAGGATAGCAGTTTCCTTTCCTAAAGGACATGGGTAACCACAAATCTGGTTTACTAAGTAGTATGTTGGCCCAGGTTTTCACTGACCTAGATTATTGTCAGACAGTGTGTCATTGCCCTATGTTTTCTGACTGCTTTTTGGTAATTATGATACAAGAGCTGGTGGTGTTGGCTGGTTCTGACTTGTTTATCTGCACTGTATGTACTCCTAGTGATGAATTCTGGGTGAAGTTCCCTTGCCACCCCAGGGGCACATAGACTGAATTGTAGAGTATGCCTACACTACCATGAACTTGGAGGGATAGAGTGCTACAACTATCAACACATATCATTGTTTCCAGGTGTTTGTTCAAGGGATTATTGAAATGCCCTCGGTGAATGATTATATTCATACAACTTGTTATTTTTAAATTATGAAGATCACTCATAACCCAGGTGGTCAAGTAACTGGATGGTTGTAACACTCTTGTGAACTGCACTAAAAGGGAAAACAAGTCAAGGTAGCTCTCCAGCTCCACATTTCTGTGATTTCTTATTTAGTTAAATGTCTCTAACTGTAATGCCTTGTGTATTTTAATTGTTGATCTAATGAAGTTAGATAAAAGTTGTTCCAACTGCAGCTACTGACTCCAAGCCACACAATGCTGTCTCAAAACTGACTTTGCAAATCAAGCTCTGTGCTTGTGTGTTGGAGATGCTTGGAATGGCTGCTTTCAGAATTGATCCAACAGACAGCACCTACTTTGGACGAGCAATAGTTTGTTGAAAGTTGTAACGCGAGACCATGATTTCAATGGAAATGTGGCCAGTTGAGGCTCCCCCATGCACATCTCTCACACGTACATGCACGCACCTCTGACAGCCTTCTGTTCAGGCTGTAATCATTTAGAAACAGCTGCCTGTGGTGCTTAAGAGCTCTCACTTGAACTGGTCATTGTATACAGGCTGTGTTTTTTTTGATGGGTTTATTTCTCCCCAACAGTTTGGGTTCAGTTCAATGATTTATGCAAAGGAAATGTTTGAGAAATATCCAGGACTTCCTACTACTCTGTCTTGTTCTGAGATTACATCCCCTGTTTCTAGACTCACCAGTTAGGGAAACCTCCTATTGTTGTTTACCTGTCACGCCCTGTAAGAGTTTTATACATTTCATCAGTCACCACTTTTTTGTTTTTTTTTTGAAACTCTTGAGGTACGTGCCCAGTTTCTCCAATCTCCCTTCAGAAGGTGGTCCTGCCATTCTGGGATTAGTCTGGCACACCTCTGTTGCACTCCTTCTGTGGCAAGTATATCCTTCCTTGGATAAGGAGACCAAAAGTGTATATGCTACTTCAGATGCAGTGTCAGCAAGGCCCCCTTTACTCCACACCCCTTGCAATAAAAACCAACATGCCATTTGCCTTCCTTGTATTGATTGTTGTATCTGCATGCTAGCTTTTAGAGTTTCATGAACAAGGCACCTTTTGAATGTGAAGTAATTATTTATTAAAATACATTTTCATTAAAATAATAAGTAATTCCTAAGAACTACTTTATGCCTTTTATTTCCTTACCAAAGTACATAAGTTCGCGGCTATTCACGTTATTGTCTTTCCCTACTGATAAGTGCTCACATTAAAGACCTTTTCTCCCTTTGCTGGATGCTAAGTTCCAAGATTTGCTGAGCATAATGCAGGTTAAAAACTGCTGGAGATCTCCTCATTGCATTGACCCTTGCATAACGGAGCACATCGAATAGTGGTTTATTGCATTGTACTGTCCATCCTGAATTCTTTCAACCAAACTGTCTATTCATTGAAACCACCACCAACAAAATTCAACTGACTTTGTTTCTTAGATAACAAGGTGTAGAGCTGGATGAACACAGCAGGCCAAGCAGCATCAGAGGA